TGGGGGAATTTGCCAGAAGCCGATCCACCCTTGCTGCATGACATACTCATACCTCTAGATCCCAGGATTGCCTTTCCTGTCCCAAGTCTAATCCCCTCTCCCATAAAGGTAAACATATGCTGGTGATTAGTATGCCCTGATTCTAATGATCATTTCTTAAAATTCATAGAAATAAGATCACATAGTAACCACCCTTCAGTGTGTACTTTCATTTGTTTAAAAGTATGTTGGTGAGCCCAGCCAGAGTGACATAGTGGTTGAGTGTCAACCTATAAACCAGGAGGTCACAGTTCAATTCCCAGTCATGGCACATACCCAGGTTGCAGGCTCGATCCCTAGTAGGGTGCGTGCAGGATGCAGCCAATCAATGATTCTCTCTTCATTGATGTTTCTATCTCTCTCTCCCTCTCCCTTTCTCTCTGAAATCAATAAAAATATATTTAAAATTAAAGAAAGGTATTTTGGCGAGATTTATGCACTCCCCTGTGTGTAACACTTGTTTTTATTATTTTGTCTCAGGGTATTTCACTATATGATTGTACCACATCTTGGTCATTCTACTAGAGAAATGTCTAATCGGGCCTTCGGGCTATCTTTTGTTGTATTGTTTCTCTTCCTTTTGTTGATTTGTATGAGTACTTTATATAATTTGGATATTAACCCTGTATCAGAGGTGGCCCCTGCTTCGAGCTCACTGAGCCACAGTCAGGAGGTGAAGGCGCTGAGCAGTCAGGGCCCCCCCATGTCTCTGAGCCTCAGTTTCCTCCTCTGCTGGAAGCCGGTCCATCCTTGCTGCTTGACACAGTCACTGCAGGGAAGAAACATCTGCACAGCACATGTTTCAAGGGACCTGGCGTATATGGCATGCTGTTCTTAATATGTTTGCTCACCTTCTTGGTGCTATGTGTTTTAACCAAGGTCACCTCTCCAAGAAAGGTTGTTTCCCCAGGTAGGGACCATTGCAGAGGAAATCTTCCAGGATGGCGAAGGGGAAGAAGGGCAGGAGGCTGTAGAGGCCCCCATGGCTCCTGCAGAGGAGGAAGAGGAAGATGATGAAGAGTCAGGTATGTGGCATCAGGCAGGGAAGCCAATGTTTGGGTGAGTGTTGGGATTTCCTAGCCCCTAGGAATAGGATGGGAAACCAGATACAGGCCCCCAGTATTTGACACAAAAAAGTTTCTCTTTAGGAGCTTCTCTAATCTTCTCCACTGGCCACTCATAATAGAAACTAAAGCCACCTAGTCCTGGCTCATCTTCTGCCTCTGAGCACTAACCCCTCCCTTTCCTGCCCAGACATTGACGACTTCATTGTGGATGATGATGGACAGCCTCTGAAGAAACCTAAGTGGAGGAAAAAGCTTCCTGGATACACAGATGCGTGAGTGGGGTCTGTTACAAGGTGGTGATAATGGCATCTGAGTGAACCCAGTCAAGACAGAGTCAGCTCTAGCCAGTTTGGCTCAGTGGATAGGGCATTGGCCTGCATGCAGACTGAAGAGTTTCGGGTTCAGTTCTAGTCAAGGGCATGTACCTCAGTTGCAGACGCGATACCTTGCCCCAATCTGGGCTCGTGTGGGAGGCAACCAATCGATATTTCTCTCTGTCTCTCTCTCTCCCTTCCACTCTCTCTAAAACAAAACAAACAGTGGAAAAAGTATTTTTGGGTGAGGATTAACAGATCCACTGAACTGGATAGGAATCCATTTGCCCTGTTGCTATTTGATCCCTGTCACTAGCATTTGTCAAAGATGGGCTTTTTATCCTTCATAAATCATACCCCTAGAAATATCCTCCAGCTAAGCCTTTATTCCTCATGAATATGCTTTTTTAGTGATTTTAGAGAGAAAGAGAGGAAGGGAGAGGGATAGAGATAGGAACATCAACGAGAGAGAGCATCATGGATCAGCTGCCTCCTGCATGCCACCTACTGGGAATTGAGCCCACAACCCGGGTATGTGCCCTGACCAGGAATGGAACCATGACCTCCTGGTTCCTAGGTCGAAGCTCAACCACTGAGCCACACAGGCCAGGCTGAATATGCTTTTTTATTTGCCTTTCTCTTAACTTTTTAGTTGCCTTGGAGCAAGTAAAGGATCAGTGCAGGTGCTGCATTTCTCTCCTCTCACCAGAACCTGAGCCAACGGCCTTTTGCTGTCACCCACAGGGCCCTGCAAGAAGCCCAAGAGATTTTTGGTGTGGACTTTGACTATGACGAATTTGAGAAATACAATGAATATGATGAAGAACTGGAGGAAGAGTATGAGTATGAGGATGATGAAGCCGAGGGTGAGATCCGAGTGCGTCCCAAGAAGACCACCAAGAAACGTGTGAGCCACAGAAGCATCTTTGAGATGTATGAGCCCAGCGAGCTGGAAAGCAGTCACCTCACAGATCAGGACAATGAAATCCGAGCCACCGACCTGCCCGAGAGGTTCCAGCTCTGCTCTATCCCAGTCAAAGTGGCTGCAGATGATGAACTAGAAGAAGAGTCTGACTGGATCTACAGGAATGCTTTTGCCACACCAACTATTTCTCTGCAGGAAAGCTGTGATTACCTGGATAGAGGGCAGCCAGCCAGCAGCTTTAGTGGAAAAGGGCCCAGTACAATTCAGAAGATTAAAGAGGCCCTGGACTTCATGCGAAATCAGCATTTTGAGGTGCCTTTTATTGCCTTCTACCGGAAGGAGTATGT